TTTTTCACCGTTTAGCCCGTCCAAACTCATTTTGTGAAACTGCGGCCTTGTTCCGGGTCGTCGCTCAGCTCCTGTTATGACTTTTTGGCGTAAGTAAACAGCATGCAGTAGCACGGTGATAATGCGGAGACATGCCCTTAGGTTGTTGGTCCAGGCCTTCCTGCTTACCCCCGACAGATTCTTTACCAGCGTGTCTTAACAGCCCAGGACACTCACGGGAGCGTGCATCATGCCCGAGTGAAGTATGAGGTTGGCCTGTCGCCTTGCTAGTCGCTGAGTCGCCTTGCGGATTGGTACTCGGCGCTGGAGCTGAAGTGAAAGAGACCACACCCCTTATATGGTGTAACGGGCAGAGCACAACGGTCTAACGTGCTGCAATGTCTATAACGCCGGGCGAACTCTGCCAAGGCTGGGGCTCCTGTGACGATGTTTCATTCGGGAGTGAAGAAGCATATTGTTCCATTTGGCAATTACATTAAAGAAAATATTTTGGTATCAGCAAACAAATTTCAGCGGTTATAGAAAAACATTTAAATCTGCAAAACTGACCACTTGTCTCCTGGCGTTATCACTGCCAGTCACGGCCCAGTCTTACAGTAGGATAGAAGCTCGGCATCCCCCGACCTAACCCTCAGCATGACTGGATACAGGCCACTGAGAGAAGGATCTTAGTGCACCGAGTCCGGGACGGGACAGGACAGAACAGCACAATAACGAAGGGTCGAGGACAGGGCAGCAGACTTCACTGCAGATAGGCAGTGGGGTAGGATAGAGGAAAGACCAAGGCGTACTCCCAGAAGACGGGGCAGGGGATAAGATCGAAATCGGACCAAGGAGGAATGCGATCTCAGCACTCGGGACACCTAAAAAAAACAGTAAACAACGAAGGGAATAGAGCAAAGAACGGCACAGAGGGCAGCAGGGAGTTTGCATGAAGGACGGGACAGACGACTGGGGACGCAATGAGGACAGAGCTGATAGGGAGTGCTGGAAAGAGGGAGTTCAGAGGATGGGACAGAGCTCTCTGCTCCCTGCCCTGCCCTGCGATAGGGCGGATGACAACACGGAGCGAGGCAGGACAGCACAGGACGGCACAGTACAGCACAGCACAGCACAGCACAGCACAGCACATAGGCAGGATGGGACATCGGAGAGCGTGGAACCGATGACAGGGCCCAGGGCCTGTCATCTGTAGAAGTCAGGGCCCAGGCTAGGCCAAAGTTAGCTGTCGGGGCGCTCACTCTGGCGCCTGATAAGACCAGGGCCAGGGCCCGAGAACAGAGCGGGCAGAGGATAGAGGGGACGGAGGGCAACGTCGGACGGGAGCGGGATATGACAAATGACGGTGCAGGATGGAGGGTAATGCGCGGAATAGAACTGAGAAATACAGAGGGCAGATCACTTAGGGCACGGATTGAGGGACCAAGGTCAGGCGGCAGGACCGGACATGGACAGAGGGAGAGGGGTCAGACTAGAGGACCGGACATGGACAGAGGGGAAGCCAGTGTTATCCTGTTCTATCTTGAGACCTATCATGTCCTTCCCTGCGCCGATCTCCTGTCCGCTTGCCTACCCTGGCGTGTCATTTATTCTGCCCTGCCTTCCCCTGCTCAAACATGCTCAACCCTGCTCCGTCCCGTCTCCGCCCCCGTCCCCGTCACCGCCATCGTCACCGTCAGACACCGCCACCGTCACCGTCACCGTCACCGTCACCTTCCATTTCGTTTCATTTCATTCCATTGCGTTACGGTACGTTCCGTGTCGTTTTGTTGCTGTTTTTCAGTAAATACTGCAGTGTAAGGTAGGTCACGTGCAAATGGCGACCGCGGACATTTTTGCAGAAAGAGTAATGGTGGGTGTAGGCTTTTGAAATACAAGTTTTGCTCTGTAAAACATTTTATGTAGAATTGTTTTAAGTGGAATCAATGTATATATATATATATATATATACATATTGATATATATATATATATATATATATATATATATATGTATATATATAAACCCTGTACAAGTTTTTGTAGTATAATTAATGAATGATATAAGCTTTAACGTTTACTTTTGTCGCGACGCACTAATGTCGCGTGTAGGCATTGGCAGGATAAATACTGTCGCGTATGGGTACCACTGTATGAGTTTTGCAACAAAATTAATGACAGGTGTAAGTTTTTGGGATAGAAGAGTTGCTGTGTTACAGAAATGTTGCGTGTAAGTGTTCGCAGCAATAGTAATTGCTTAGCACTGCTGTCGGTAGGAGTTTTTGTCGTAGTACTAATGCCGTAGAGCCCTCAGAAACGCAGGGGCTTTCAGCGTCGTTGTGTTCAATAACGGATTACACCAGGCTTTTTCTTAAAGAAGGGCATTTAGGCAGTCCGTGCTTGCATCTGCTAACATTTTACGACAACGCCTTGGCCATTGGAACAAGGTTATGCGTGACCCACGCTTTGACAGTAAAATGTGAGCTTTGGACCTTCAAAGGCAATTGATAAAGTAGCGCCCGTGTCCATGTGAAAGGAGCTCTCCAGATTTCAGACGGGTGTAGGATGGCACTGCTATTCCTTTTGACAATCTCCAGAACGCTTTTCCATCACGGACGGAGGCACTGCTATAGAGTTGACTCTATGACAAGAACCTGAGTGGTCGCCTGTGGCCAAATTATGTATAGCTGATCAACTAGTGTATTTAAGCACACTTTCATTCACAGAAAAGATGAATCGATGTGCAAAATATTTAATACACACTCGGGTGGCCCGTTAAATCTGACGCGCGCAGGTGGGATGGGGAAAGAGGTGAAGTTAACACCCTGAGACCTAAAAGACTAAGAGTCTGGAGACATCAAATTCACGGAGAAGGCTGGACTCCGAACTCACCTGTGTCTATTGTCAGGTCACCGGGTCGTGAAGCTCGGTCAAATAGTGTCAAACAAGGTTAAGATGGAAGCTGATGTCCGGAATGTGTTCAGGCTTCCTTACGCAACCAGCTTTGACTCACACAACTTTCCTGAGTAGAGGGTCACTCGTGCCATATCAGGTGATGACCTTATCTGACCTTAAGCAGCCCCAATTGGTCAAAACCCAACGCTTGTGCGCTTCTTTGACTTGAAATCCCCGTCAAGAATTACCCTGGAAGGCATGTTTGTTAAAATAGACATGCCTTCAAACAAAAGTTTTAGCGAGGCCATTATAGTCAGTGACCTCCCCCGACCTTCATACAGCGAAAATAAGGAATCTGATGACGTGCTTGTGACCAAGGAATTCAAAATGGGCGTCAAAGATGCTCCCTGTAAATCGAGTTTTCCATTTAAAAACGGTCTGGTTCTAGCCTTGATCTGGCCTTCATACTGGTCTTAATCTGGCCTTGAAGGATTTGATCTGGCCTCCAATGTAATTGGAATTGGTCGTGATCCTAACTGCAATTGATCATTGTCTAAGGAACCATCTCAAAGCTGTATCACTTCGTTTAACATTCCGCTGTCACGTCAGCTTGGCGGATTCCTTAGGAATTGCCTTCGCTGACAGCTTGTTACCTGACCTGCTACAGTTCAGCAACCTTATGATTTTATCTATCTTGGTAGCAAAAGCTCAGTTTTCGGAATGCCGTAAAAGTATACATTTACAGCTATTTTCGGCGAGGATAAACTGCACCGTTTTGAGAGCTATTCAGGACAAATCTTCAAAGGCGGCAAAATGACCTCCATTCCCTTGACCAGAACGTTTGCTAAATGTGCGAAATCACACAAACACACGCACGCACACTCCCAAACGGACACATATAATGTGCTAGTCTGTTGGTACTGCCGTGCATAAATCATGTCCCATTCCATGGCCAGGACAAAACAGCTTCGGGAAAACAGCTGTGTGGTCTACGTCACGAGGAGCGACAAGCGGCGATAAAGCCTCTAATTGTGGAGATACCACATGTTTGGCTGCTCACCAATGACGCTGTAGTCCTGTCCATCGATACATGTGTGCTGCACTGTGATATCTTCTGCGTGTCCCTACGTCTACCGACATACATACATCCATACATACATGAGTACACGCACAGACACACGCACGCGCGCGCGCGCGCGCGCACGCACGTAGCAATACGAAAGCAATTCATGTATATATATATATATATATATATATATATATATATATATATATATATATATATTCAATGTGTCAGCGTTGAACAAAAGCTTGAAAAACATAAATTATCATTGCAGAGTTGTCGGATACACATCGCCACTTGTTCTAAAACATTCCTGCTGCATGTAATTTCTTGAGATAGATGCATCATAGATATAATTTGTAAACATGGAAAGCATCCATCTATATATAGCTACTTTCGAATTGACCACCACCAGGAGTCATATGCGATATTGAGCTGTTCAGTGTGGTATATTGCGAACTTATTGCATGCTTATGAAGCGCAAAGGAGCATTTCGTTCCCATCGTGGACTGTCTCGTGAAGCGCAATCATAATATTTTTTCTCGACAACGAGCAGAAAGACAAATATTCTGCAATTTGCAATCAGTTATCAATAGAAAACGTGCACAACTCCCCTCTGTGGCAATGCACCGCAGCAACTTTGCTATTCTCGCGTGCTACTACTTACGTCGCATAACGAGGCCTCAAGCCCACGGTCCTGCAACGGCCGTTTCCTGCCCGAACTATGCGTGGAGCTTTTCGTGCGCAGAAGAGATCTGACGTTGAGATGAAAGTCCACTACGAAAGCAATACAGTGAAGTCTGTCACTGTCGTTTTACAACATTCGTACTGTGGTTTCGAGGCCTGTGGCCTTGCCCCGCGCCGTCCCATGCCGACAAAGGCCCCGCCGCGATCGGGGGCCACTCGCCTGCTGGGCCCCTGCCAACGCTCACCAGTCAGGTAAAATAGCATGCTAAAAGGACGCGTCGCAAGCGCATCTTTTGCCCATATGTGAAAAACTGATTACGTGTACGTGATGAGTATATGGCGGGAAAAAGCGCATCTTCAAAAGGCCTTTGTTGCAGGTGCGCTGGAGTGGCGGCTGCCGGCACTTCCCATCAGCCTGATGCTCATCGTCCCACTGCTCTGCCCAGGTGAGATTGGCCGGCGCCCGTTGCCAGGATGCCATGCCCAGGCCCGACACCAATTATCTTGTTGCGCTCTCTGTTGCTGCGCTCCGACACCAATTATCCTGCCCTATCCAGCCAGGTTGGATGGTTTGGTATTCATGCACACCAACGTTTTTATTCGGGAGCAAACCATTTTAAGGTGAGCTTGACCAATTCAAAACTGTGAATCTGCAGACTCCTCGACGGGACACGGTATACCCAGAGCGCAGCTTCATCTGCTACAAACGAGAGACGCTCTCTCAGCCGTGAATGCGACTCATCCTCGGACAGCCGACATCAATTACACTCGGTCCCCGTGCGCGGCGCCCCTGCAGCCGAGCTTGTGCTGTTTTTGTCCTCCTCCTGAGAGGCCAAGCTTGGGCGACGACGAACAACTGAGGCGGGGTCGAATAATTGACGACGCCTACTTAGCTGAGCTGTGAGAGCGCTAACTACCGGCGGTGACGAGGACTGCTGGGCCCGGGTCCTCTGCCCAAGACCACGAAACTGATCCGCAGCTGGGGCACGGACGGATTGACGCGGGCCGAGTTGAGTTGAATTCTCCGATTGAGCTGTGCCTTGTGGAGATTCGCTCATTATTTACTCGGTGTTCGCGACCTCTCCAGACGCCGGCGCCGTCTGACGGGTATGCCACGATGGTGGGACACACATGCTGCCTGTGCTAGATGGATCGGAGGGGAGCGGAAACTAGTGCCTCTCTGCATGGTGCTCAATGTCTTCTTACAGCTTTTTTGTTGATTCCCAAATCGGAGCCCGAAACGCCCTAATGGCCTGCTTCAATGTCAGCGTCGGTCGGAGGCGCGACAGGAACCGGCGACGTCATGGAAACTCTGACGCCTTTCACGTGATAGGTGTAGGAGCAGCCTTCACGCCCAACCCTGACATTTGTTGGGGGGAGAAAATTGCCCAGATTTACAAATGCTGTGCAATACAAATGTAAGTAACACCAGGCTGATGAAATGAATAGAAAAGCGAACGAGCAATCGTCGATGGCTGAATTGCTTGTCGAGATGAATCGCTCGCCACGTTTTAAGTCATACTTAAGTACAATATCCGCTTTATTCAAGTATCATCTCAATTGCGTAAGCACGCAACAAAGCTGCATTCAATCCACTACTGTGAATCGCCTACAAATAAGGCACAAGAACTTGTCTATCGGAATTAGATATCTGAACACGCGACCAACTCACCATAGGCTTCCTTTTAAAAGAGCGCACAGCGAGACCCGGGGCGATTACACGGGAGACGGAAGCACATTCTGTGTGAGGCGGTATTGCCGGCGAGGCCGTACGTGTCGCCAACACTGCTCTTCAGTCTCTGGGACTGTGAAAGTGCGCTCGACGCTCGCGAAACAGCGTCTGTGTAAACAGGTCATAAGTAAGCCTCTTAGAAACTCTGAAGTTCGGTCGTCTGTGGTTGATAAAGTGAACTTGAAGATGAATCGCTATGCGTAAAGATGCTGTCAGTGTTTCAAATTGTAGTGGCTTTTAGGATTCAACGCCGAGGACAAGGCAAAGTGTTAGAGCGTGCGTATTTCGTTCATGGTGCACAAAACATGCTTCCAGTTCAACGGAAGCGCGACGGCAGGGGATGCATGACAAGTGGCATGTCAGTGGGCGAAGTTGACCAAGAGACTGCCACAATGTTCAAATACGAGGCAGAGAACGGCGGAGTGATCGGCGGCAGACTGTTGTGCTGGACGACTGTTCCCAGGAACACCGCAGTCCTTTGATTGCAGTGCATGATTGTGGTAACGATGATATTAGTGTTTCTTAAAAAAATAGAATTATCCAACTTCCAACTTCCCGATTCAATTTTGTATATGACAGTCCCTGAAAAGACGTGACCTTCCGGTTTTTGCTGTCCATTCAAGATGCAATTTATGAACGGCTTTGGGTGTCTTTGTACCTGTCTGTGCCAGTGTCTTTCTCTGCCGAGGTCTGTCCTTAAATGTCCGTAACATTTTCCTCCAAAGTGACAAATAACGCTTGTTGTCACAATAGATGCGCTCCATGGAAGCTTTCTGGGCTGTTTCTTTTGTCTTTATCGCTCTGAAATGCATTGCTGTCGTTTGGTGGCTTTTGCAATGTCAAGCCATCCAGGGGTTACCTAGGTTAGATTTTGATCTTTGTGACCAACTTTCATCCTTTTGAAAGTCATACGATTTACGTGTAAATGACTCGCATTTTGCAGCTTTGTGTGGGCTGTCTATCACTGTTTTTTCCCATCGGTGCGGCTCGCTTATTTCTTGATACCGCCGTACGCACCAATACAGCATCACTGACCCGATATGACATACCGAATGCCACATGTGCCGATGTTCACTAGTACCCATCTGATAGTTTTCCAAGGGCAATTCAACACCGTTTTCCACACTGTTGCGTGCTTTGTCATTGAGGTAACAAGAGGGGTCCATACGGTATTGATCTTACATCTATGACCTGATTTGACCCGCAAAACGTTGCATTCACCAATGCTCAGTCTCACCTGATTTGATGCAGTTTGCCTCAAGTGTTCATCGCCGTCTTTACCATTGCTCCAGTTCTACCTCATTTTTAAAATCAGGGTAGGCCTTTGAGGCGCTGCCTGCTTAGGACGAGGATGAACAAGCTCCTTAGGGCAGGGCTATTATCAAGTTGATCAAGGCTAACATCAGTAGCTAATGGGCTGATTAAATAATTTTTGTCTCATACCGCATACAACCAAAACAGAAATGAACGCCAATTACGGCGAAGTTGTGTGCATGTATGTGTGTGTGTGTGTGTGTGTGTGTGTGTGTGTGTGTGTGTGTGTGTGTGTGTGTGTGTGTGTGTGTGTGTGTGTGTGTGTGTGTGTGTGTGTGTGTGTGTGTGTGTGTGTGTGTGTGTGTGTGTGTGTGTGTGTGTGTGTGTGTGTGTGTGTGTGTGTGTGTGTGTGTGTGTGTGTGTGTGTGTGTGTGTGTGTGTGTGTGTGTGTGTGTGTGTGTGTGTGTGTGTGTGTGTGTGTGTGTAACGGTAACCTTTTGCGCACATATCGGTGAAACATGAACTTAGCAGTGAGTGAAATATAATGGCAGAATAATAGAATAGCATGGCAAATACAGAATAGCAGTGAAACATGAACTTGCTATATAATGAACGCAATTTCTAAGTTTTCATGACAACGTCCGATTGCTCATCTTGCCCCGTGGGTGGGGTGATATGTTCCACGTAGTGAGGCATGTTGAGCGGTATTGATCATCTACAAGAATGCATAGATCTTCCTGGCTGTTTGTTCATCCATCGTCGGAAAACGGCATTCTTTTCTTCGTACTCATTCTCTTCTTCGTTGACTTCCACTTCGCTTTTCCACCTCGTGTTTTCATTTTCACACGTAGCGGCTTGCTCCTATTTAAATGCTGTTCTTGCTGGAGTCGCTTCTTTTCGGGAGTCGATGTCAGCGCCATCGGTTGTCCTCGCTTACGATTGGCTGTTCTACTCTTTCGTGGTGGAGCTTTTGATGTGGGCAATATGGCTTCCACTGCAGCACATGTGACTGGTGCGTCTAGCGCGGTTCCATCGGACCCCAGCTCAGTCCGTGAAAGGGTGCTACCTGGTCCCACACCGGAGGCGTCCGCTCCCAGCAGGGCGATACCAAGTCCTGCGCCTCTAGCGCTCACCCCCTGCGAGGCGCCACTTTGTCCGGCGCTAGAGGTATCCCGTGGCGGCCTGTTGGTCACATCTGCCGGCGAGAATGCGTGTTCTGGGAAAACTTCTCTCTTGAAGAGGGAGATCTCAGTTGTTCTGAACGCAGTCTGAATGTTGGACCCTGCGAAGACCTTGGTATATATGCACGGTTTGTTGGACGTCGTATGTTGGCATCGTCCTGCCTGGATTTCTCCGCATTCAGTCTGTTATTGCCAGTCTGACATCATTAAGTCTTCAGCAGACCGAAACCCGCTGTGTTCAGAGGCTGAAAGCAGTAAGAAGTGTGCGACGAAGCATGAGAACGTAATGCAGTTGCCACGAGTAAACTCACTTGTCCAAAGCGAGATATGAGAGGCGTGGTTGTCCAGGATGATGAGAACTTGATGTTCTGCCGAGCAGCGAGTCTTTGAAAGCGAGTGAGGTACTCGAGGAATCTATCATCGTTTACACATCCCCCTTCGTTCCATAACCTGCAGTGCCTGCAGGTGCGTCTCGAAGGAAGTGGTCTTTGAAGTTCACTCCGGGAAAGATGATGAGTAGTGGGACAAAATTTCCGACGGCGTGGGCTGAACAACTAGCGTGCACGACTCTCCTCTTTCTGTGGAAGTGATGGAGTCCACCTACCTGAATTCCTATATTGTCACCACTCTGTTGTAATGTAAAGTCATGAAATATGGGGATGGTATTAACACCCATCCTGCATATGTATCGACTGCATCGCCATATCGGTACCCGTACCTGCATACCTGAGGTGTTGTAGCTGCTTTGAGTTTATGAAATGATCTTTCCTTCTTTAGAGGCATCTCGATATTGATAATACCTTGTCTTGAACGCGTTTGAGAAATTTTAATGAAATATATTTGAGGTTATGGAACACAAACATCAATTCGCTACCGATCCGAGACACTGTCTATGGTGCCATGGCTGTCTGTATGTGTGACGGATTAATTGATTTAACAAAATGTTACGCAGTAGCAATTTAGGCACAACCCTACATAACTATTTGAATGTTGGCACAGGTTATAATGAGTCTAGAATGTCTTGACAAAAAGTCAACAAATGCCAAATATTCCGTCATCTTCACCGAGTCAGGAAGTAGAGAAAATCTGCTGTCTGCATTGGAGACAGAGAGAAAGAGAGAGAGAGAGAGAGAGAGAGAGAGAGAGAGAGAGAGAGAGAGAGATATATATATATATATATATATATATATATATATATATATATATATATATATACTGAACATTAAGCTGCAGTATCCAACTTGCTGGGAAGCCTAGATGTTAAAGATCAGCGCCGGGC